GTGACAGTGGACAGAGGGGGACAGTGGACAGAGGGTGACAGTGAACTGTGGGTGACAGTGGACAGAGGGTGACAGTGGACAGAGGGTGATTGTGGACAGTGGGTGACAGTGGACCGAGGGGTCACAGGGGCCAGAGGGGTGACAGGTCAGAAGGGTGGCAGTGTGCAGCCAGGCCAGCCCTGGCCAGGGTGGGGCAAGGCAGGGCAGCGAGCGGAGGACAGGTGGCTGAGTGTGGCCAGCCTGCCCGGGAGGGGTGCATGGACAGAGGGGACAGGGTCAGGGCTGGCCTGGAGCCCCAGCCTCTAGGAGGGCGCCGTGTCCTCAAGGCGACAGAGAACAGAGGTGAGCGATGGTCCGGGAGACCCTTGATGGTCGGGGTGATGGTGACTGTGGTGGGGGAGGTCCGGGCAGCGAGCGAGGGAGAGACGCGGGGCCACCCCAGGGTCCTGGAGAAGCCGGGTTAGAAGGTGAAGGTCGGCGGACGCTGGCTCTCGCGGGGGAGGCCAGCAAGTTGGGAGAGAGGCTGAAGGTCGGGGGAGGTTGGCCTCGAGCGGGTGGGGCGGGGTGGCTGGAGGTCAGGGGTCAGCTCTGGGCCTCATTTTCTCGGTGGAGCCTCCGGCGGGGGGCGGGTCCCGAACAAGCTTAGACTATCCCTTCCTCAGAGGCGCGTGGCATCCGTTTGGGGTCAGACCCTGCAGGCCGAGCAGGGCCCAGGCCCACCCGGAGTGGACATCCCTCCGGGGGCAGGAGGGGACTGGCAGGGACCCGGGCAAGCAGGGTCAGATGGGCCCACAGGAAGGCCCCATGCCCACCGGCCTTGGGGGTCCCCGGGTTGGGATGGGGCCCTGAGGACCATCCCCTGACAACAAGAGGCTGCAGGTGGCCTCCCAGGCGATCCTGGATGCCTCTCCCCAGAGCCACCCATGCCTGGGGGGGTGTCTGTTACTCAGAAAAGGCGTGCGCGCCCCGGGAACCGGGACGGGACCGGCGCTGATGGGGCGGGGAGGACAGGCGTCAGGATCTGCTGGGGGACACGGATCCTTTCCACTGAGGCCAGGGGCTGGGGAGGGTGGCGCCCTGGGTCTGGCGGGGGACAGAGATGAATGGGACCCGAGGAAGTGTGGCCAGAGCCACGGGGATGGGCGGTGGCGGTAGGGCGGTGGGACCAGGCCTGCATGGTCTGGGGAGAGGCCGGGCAGCACTCACCTGTTCTTGGCTTTGTTCCGGGAAGCATGTGAGGCAGCTTATAAGATGCTCACAAGAAGCCCAAACAGACTGAACCGGCCGAGGGAGATGGGCGGTGAGCTAGGGGTGGGGCGGGGACCAGAGGGGGCCGTGGAAGGAGAGCAGGGGTGGGGGCTTTCCTCCGGGGGAGGCACAGTTTGGGGCAGGTATGAGACGCAGTACCCCCTGGCTCACACAAACACTCCTTAGAGGCCATGACCTTGGGTCAAGCCCCAGAGGCCCTTTTGCCTTTGAGAGACCCCTGTGTGGAGGCTGGGCCTCCTTCCTAGACTCCCCTCAGACCCTGTCTCAGCCCCCCTGCCGGGTCTCCCAGCTCCAGCCAGGCCTTTGCCCCCGCCTGCTTCACCTGCCATCCCTGCTTGTCTCCACCCCTCTTGGCTCATGCCCCCTTCTCCAGGCAGCCTGCCCTGATTTCCCCTGGCCCCGCTGGTCTAGGTGCCTCCCCTGGGCGCCTCTGCCTGTTGTGGTGGATGACATGGGGGAGGGGCTGCGTCTGCCCCTCTGTGTGCCAGGGCCCACCTGGCCTGGCCGGGGAGGGTCCTCACTGTTTGTTGGGAGTACGAATGGGTCCTTGGATTCCCCTGGACATGGTGTCGCAGGCCCCTCCTTGCCGCCTGGGGGGCAGAGGGCCCTGGCCCTGCACGCCCACCAAGGCGCTCCCTGTGCCTGGCTGCTGGCTGCGTGGGCGGAGGTCATCTTTTCTCGTGGTGGATTCCGTGAGCTATAAACGCAGCGGATTTACGGAAATCCTCTCCTCGGAGCGGAGATTTTCTGGGGATTGGAAACACTCAGCCCGTCCTGTTTGATGAGGGCGCAGGACACTGCGAGCTGCCAGATCGAGGCCAGCTACATGACCTCGCCGTGCCCCATGTGGGCCCCGGCAACCGAGGGCCCGAAGGAAGCTCGTGCTGTCCGTGCTCCCTGGAGGGCAGCGGGTCTCCAGCAGGGGTGACCAATGGTCCTGGTTTGCCCAGGACCTCCTCATTCCAGCACTGAGTGGCCCGCACCATCAGCTGCTGGGACATGGGACAGGGCAGGGGAGCAGTTTCTTGGATCGGGGGAGGGGCCTTGAAGTGCCTGGGGCCATCCCGGAGGAGGTGTCACTGTGGATGGAAGTGTGGGCCTGTGCTCAGGGAAGGTCCCCTGGGGGTCACCAGTCCAGAGCGGGTTCCTGAAGACTGGAGCAGGCGGAGTGACCGAGGAGGACCTCTGAGGGCAAGGGCTGGGGCGTGGACAGGGCAGGGGTGTCCTGCCTGGGAGGGGCAGGGCGCTGGGGAGCCAAGGACAAAATGGCCGGGAGGGACAGTCATAGGAATGAGGGGCTGAGGGTGCGCGGCAGGGAGGATGGAAGAGTGTGGTCGCTTGACTCTGGCGGGCCATGGGGGCCTGTGTGGGGGGCAGCTCAGTGGCGGCCCACCCACTGCAGCAGGCAGAGCGTGTACGGGATGGGGGCACACCCTTTCCAGAAGCTCAGTGGTGAAGGGAAGAGAAAGGCGGGCGCCTGGATCAAGGAGGGACGTAGGGGGGTCTCAGGATGGGCAACGATGGTCCAGGGAAATCAGGGAGTGGGGGAGGCCCCCTAGGCCCTGGAGAGGTGGAGGGTGGGAGATGTGAGGGGTGGGGTGGGTGGGGAGCTCTCTGCTGAACAGTCTTGGTCAGCTCAGCCCTTGGACTCACAGCCCCCTCTCCACAGGAGCCCTGGGGCCCGAGAGCCCGCGCCGCGAGGCGCCCACCTACGTGAACCTCCCCGCCAGCCCCTCCTCCACGACGCAGCTGCACTACATGGGCCTGGAGCTCCCGGAGGCGGGCGCGGGGATCCGAGGTGCGTCCCCGCCTGGGGCCCGACAGGTGCTGGGCCTGCAGCCCTGGGGGCCCTGGAGCCCTTAACCTCCATGCCTGGCACCTCAGCCCTCAGCAAGGTCCTCTTCCTCCTGCTGAGCTGTGTCCCCGAAGGTGTCACCCTGCCTGCGTCCTCACGTGGGGACCTCCCCGCTCAGGTCCTGGCTGGGTGCATGGTGTGGGTGGAGCTCCCAGCCCCAGCCCCCATCACCCTGTCCAGGCTGAGGCCTCCGTGGGACGCCATGTGGGGCTCGTGCGAAGCTGAGGGGACAGTGGGGCCGGCTCACCTGGGCTGTTTTCAGGGGCCGGCGCTTCCCGCTACGCACAGATCGACATCACAGCCACCGAGGTGGCCCACCGGGTGGGGGCCCGGCATGCACAGAGCCGGGAGGAGCGGCTGCCCGAGCTGGAGCAGAGGAGAATGGGGGCCCCACAGTGAGGCGGCCGGACACCCCCGCCACGACTGGACAATCCAGAGCGGCCAAGCAGGCGGCCCCCTTCTGCTGGCAACGGCCCGGGGCACGAGGGGCCCGGCCTCTCTGCGGTCATCTTTGCTGCATCCCCGGTGGTCCAGGCTCCGTGATTCGTGGCTTCCTAGCCGCACGGTGGGCATGGCTGGTCCCTGTGCCCTGGTGCGGGTGGGTGGAAGGTTCCGGCCCTCCTCGCCTCGCTGGTCATGGGTGCCTAGAGCTGACCCTTCTTCTGGCCTGAACTAATCACTCTGGATCTCAGCAGGCGGGAGGGCCACGTGCCCGGTGTCAGGGAGCTTCTGGATGGTTACCCGAGGCAGCGTCTCAGCCACAGGCGGCCGGGGGATTGGGAGCTGTTTCATGGACCCTGGGATGCAGACCGCCCTCCCTGCCTGGAGGTGGTCGCCACCCGACTGATGACAGCCATACAGACATGTCTCAGCAAAACACACGTCCCCACCCACACTGAGCGTCCTGCAGCCGTCGGCTCAGGGACCTCCAGCCCCCGGCTGCCCCCCTTTGCAGGAGCCTCCACTGCTGCCCGAGCCCTGGGCGCGGGAGGATCGCTCCACGTTCCGACCTGTCAGGCGCCCACGTGGCCCCACACGCGTTGACCTGACCGAGTCGCTTCTGGGGACCCAACACTGTTAGTCGTGTAAATAGTTCAAAATGGTTACTGTCCTATTTTTAACAACGACATTATTTTCCTGAAGGATGAGGTGCTTCCTCTGTCTCACGCTGTTTGCAGTGGGCTGCAGCCCTGGACACGGTTCTGCCGTCGTGACACGGGGGAGGGGCTCAGGGCCCGGTTAGCCCCCCCTTGGCGGGTCCGGGTGTGCTTCCTCCTGACCCTGCCTGTGGCCTTGCCGGAGGCACGTGGCCTTTCCGTGACTCAGTGATCGGGGGAGTGATGGTCCCGGCTCCACTGGCTGATGGGGGTCTGGACACTGGGAAGTTGCCAGAGCTGGTGGTGGGCTTCCTGCTGTTCCTCCCGAGGCCCTGGGCATGAGAGGGAAGCACCAGGCTGGGCCTCCTACCCTGGTCTCCGAGACCAGATGGGGCCAGGGGCTCCAACCACGGCCCACCCACAACTCTCCCCCCACTCCCGCAGCCCACCAGGGACCCAGGGAATCTGGTGAGCTGCCCCGGGAGCACGAGCAGCTGACACTCCTCTCGCTCTCCTCCTCAGCTGGGGTCCCTCGGGCTGGTGGGTCCCAGAACACAGCCCCCCTCGCCCTGCCCCATCTTCTGAGCTGACCTCTGACTGCTGGGGAAGCCCATAAGCCTAGGTGGTGGGAAGCAGGCTCAGCCCTGAGCCCATGGGGGTGAATGTCCCAGGTGGGATGCAAAGGCCCTGGGGCTGATCCAGCAAACAAGTCAGGCTCTCCGTCTGGAAGGACCCCAGTAGCACACTCTGGACATTCTAGGGTAGCAGAACTTTCCTTTTAAGCTGCAAGTGGGGGGTAAAGCATGGCCAGTGCACCCCAGTCCAGGGCTCCAGCGGTGTCAGGGTCCACTTGGACGGGAGGGGGCTTGGATGTCCATGCCCCAGGCAAGCAGCACGCACCAGCTCTGGAACAGGTAACTTGGAGTCCTGGGCCTTACCAGTGACCTTGAGTGGCTGCGTCTGGGTCTCCTGTTTTCAGAGTTGGATAAGCCGCTGTTTGGTGATGCTAACATGGGGTTGTGGGCATCCACGTAAAACATCCTGAAGGGCCGGGCTCAGACCCCAACGCCCAGCAGGACTTGGGCCCCCTTCCGTTCCCGCCCCTGAGTCTGTTTGCCCCTCGTCCTCTGCCCCATGGTGGCAAAGGGGTCTGCTGGCAAACATCCACCTGGAGACCTGTGGCTGCGGGGAGAGAGCGGAGTTCCCTGCGGGGTCAGCCAGGCTCGGCCAAGGGCACCATGTGAGGGATGGTGGGTTGGGGAGCGGGTGCTGTGCAGGGAGACAAGCGTCCGCGCTCACTGAGGTGCCCATGGGGCCCACAGAGTGGAGGGGCCACGGGAGTGAGGACGCCAGCCAAGGCCACGGGCAGGGGTTTGCCCCGAGGCATGGCGGCTGCCCTCCAGCCCAGGGAGGCTTCAGGAGTGCTGGGGCTAAGCCAGCCAGGGCGGCCACACAGGGCCGAGGCGGGGCCGGACACACGCCTGTCCCTCCTCTGGAGCTGTGAAGGGCAGCCGGAACCTGACATCGGGGTCACCCCTGCAAAGCTGCTGCAGCTGCGAGGTGAGGCCCACAGGCCGTAGTACAGCAGTGGACGGGGGTGCCCCAGCTTGAGCCCAGGAAGGGCTCCCCACCTTTGCTGAGGGCAGGGGCACCCGGCACCCTGTAGCGACACCCCAGGCCACTGCCCTCCTGGCTCCCTGCGTGTCCTCTCATGCCCTCTGCCCGCAGGTCCCCTCTGGCCTCTGGGGGCCCAGGCTGGGGCCCTCCTGCTGGCATAAGGGAGACTGTGCAGGTTGTACACAGACCCACAGGGCGTCGCCTCATCCCCGGGTGCCCCCAGCTGGAGGTTGGTGAGGAGCTGCAGGGTCACCCATACTGGGTTGGGTTTAGCGTCTCAACCCGGGAATATGAGCGTTGGGACGGGACACTTGACTGCCCGTCAACAGGGACTGGTGCCTGCGGCCGGGCACGTCCATCCTGCAACGCTGCGTGGCTGTGAAAACAAAAGGCAGCTCGCGCCCAGAGAGGAAGCCCTCGGGACACCCAGGGGAAAGCAGGCAGGCAGTGGGGCAGCATGAGCCACCTTCTGTGTTCACACGTGTGTGCACACGTGCAGTCTCGGGAAGGGACCCAGGACCCTGTCTCTGGGGAGAGAGACTGCAAGGAGACAGGGAGGTGTCACTGGACACTTTGGACACACAGACAAGGGACCCTCGGGTACCCACGACCCAGCCTAAGAAGAGCTGAGGCCTGGATTCTCGGCCTCGCAGCCCAGAGGTAACCACACACGGGGTCTGGCCTCTGCACTCCCACATTGCTTGGCTTGCTTAGTTTGTGCGGATGGCACCTACTGCTGGCATGCCCGTGGCCTGCCTTCTGCTCAGCGGGAGAGGCGCTCGGTTCACCCCACCTCTGCAGTCCCAACACGGCGGGGCCGGCCTGTTGTCACGGGTCCATATGGGCACCGGGACTGTGCAGCCTCGAGGACGTGGCACCATGCTGAGTGGGCGCTGCGCAGGCCCGGGCCCGCTCAGGCTGCACACCCTGACTCTCCAGGCTTTGTCACGTTGTCTTCCCAACCGGCTGTAAAGACAGACAGCTGGGAGCAGGAGGCTCCAAGACTGGGCCGGCCCAGTGGCTTCACCTCCGACTATTAGTGAGGCTGCACGTAGTTCCACAGGAAACTACGTCCACCGGACGTGAGTCTCTCCTCCAACTGCCTGCTTCTCTCTGTTGATCTTTACTATCGGAGTGTTTATCAAGAGACAATAACAATGATCTGTAATGTTTTTGTTAATATTTTTAATCAGATATATTCCACATGATTTAGAATCAAATTGGTGCACCAGGTTTGTTACCAAAGACCCAGCACCCCCACCCCCTCACTGTGCGCACTCATCATTAATATACGGTCAACTCGCCCTTAGTTGTACGAATCTCCTCTCAAAAGAGTCCAACTTATTAGGCTGTCAATCAATTTCATTTTCTTGAGTAAGTCTCTTCTGGAGCCTCCTGGCCTGCTCCGTTCAGGAGCCCACTGTACAGCTCTCACCCCACAGCCCCTCCTGGGTCGACCCTGCCTCGTGGGTCTCACGTCTGCTTTCTTGGTTTCCCTCTGTTGTTTTAAGGAGTGCTTCCTCCAGTAGCAACCTAAGAGAGGGCACGGGGGGCATCTGAGCGCCCACACGCTTAGAAAACGTCTGTACTCCCTTTCACACCTACTGCCGGCTGGGTTGGTACAGACTCCTCGGTTGGAAAGGCTTTTCCTCCACAACCTCGAAGGCTCTGCTCTGCAGCCCCGCAGCTTGTGCTGGCACGTGGGCCCTTCCGACTGTCCTGAGTTCCGTTCTCCCCTCTTCTGTAACAGTTGCAATCTTCTCATTGCCTCCGCTTTTAGTTGCACAATTATGATTTCCACCTCCTCTACGGGGCCTTTCACTGTGGAAACCTGCTCTGCAGCTGCGGGAACTGTTGTAGAATTACTTGGTTTCTCCACGTCCTCTGATCTCTCCTGGGTCCTATTATTCAGATTGCTGGACCACCGAGGTCACTCTTTAAGTTTTTGTACTTTTTCTCTTTTATTTTCCTTTTTTTTGTGGTACTTCAGTGTGATTTCCTCCACTCTTATTTCTCAGTCTTCAGGGTGTTTTATTTCTGCCACCAAATGTTTAATTCCCAAGAGCCCTTTTGTTCTCACTATATCCTATGGCATCCTGTGCTTGTTTCATATGTGCACTTTTATCTCTGAGGACTTTCTTATATTTTACAAACAGAAAACCACACAATCCTAAGTGTACACTTGACAGACTTTGACACGCGTGACCCGTGTACCCACCACCCACATGAGACAGAGGGCACTTGCCATCACAGCTCCCTCCTGCCCCTTTCCAGGCAACGCCCACCCCGCCAGCTGACCATGAATTTGACTTCCATCCCTATGGACCAATTTGGTCTCTTAGCTTTAGCTTCTTTTGCTCAGCATAATGTTTTTAGATTCCTCTATGTTGTAGCAGCAGTTCATTCTTTTTCAACTGTTCCCATATTCCATCATACAAACATACCAGAATTTATTACCTATTCTCCCACTGAGCGTCATTTAGGTTGTTTCTGGTTTTAAACGAAATACAGTTGCTATGACATTCTTGTTTAGGTCTCCTGTGGACAGACACATTTATTTCTCTTGGATAGGAGCAGTAGTGGAATCGCCAGGACACAGGATAAGCAAACGTTTAAGTTTTAAAAGAAACTGCCAAGTTTCCCAGGGTGGTTTGGCATTCTGTATGCTCCAGCAGCAGCAGGAGA